TGTGTGTGTGTGTGTGTGTGTGTGTGTGTACCATCACGGAGTTGGGGGCAAGGTGGGTAGGGCAGAGGTTAGAAGGAAAAAAGAAGGCACAGATATTGCCAACAGTACACATCTGAGTTCACAGGCCTTTCAGTGCACCCAGGCCTGCCCCTAACTTTGGAGGGCTGTGACACCAGAGTTCAAATGGAGATGAGTACCTTCAAGACCAGTAGCAGTTGGAACACAGAGAAGCCAGAAACTGGATGATCAGCTCTACTGGGAAATGTTACTTCATTATATAAACATATGCATCCATACTGAGGGGAAGATTGGACCAGGGAATTTAATTTGTCTTTTCTCTTACCTAACCATTTCTGCTGCTTAGAACCAACCTGTACTACAAAACCGTGTCCATCTCTGAGGCCGACTGAGGTACGACCCTCAAACTTTTACTGAATTCAAACTCTGGCCATTTTTGTTCCAAGGACATAGGACAAGAGATGTGGACTGTTTCCTCTGGCCTTGGGATCACAAGAGAGGATGTTACATTATGTTGCATTGTGCCAGAGTTAAGCCCAGGTTTTGAGAGACTGATGCACACATGTGTTCTTTAATACATTGATTTTTATACATGTTTGTGATTTTGTGGAGCCACTAAATTTCAAGGCACAGGGTAGGGGCCCTCTTGCGTTGGGTTAAGAGCAATACTTAGAGTTCACCTTGTGCTTTGAGACAGGATTTTTCAGACTGGACCAATTTCATGTTTTCAGGTAGTGAGTGGGCTGAGGTAGAGAGAGCTGGCATCTACTGGAGGGCCTTCCACACCCTCTCTGGGCTTCAGGCTCTTCATTTGTTCTAGAAGGGAGCAGCCCCCACCTCTCCTGCCCACCCCGCAATCCTGGCTGGCATGGAGCATCCCAGGAGCGCAGACATAAAGGGCCCCATTGAACTGCAGGCTCTAGGCTGCTGTCCTCACAAAGCCCTTTTCTCCCTGAGCTACAATAGCACTGCCAGGCAGGTAGCAGGGCCTGCAGCATTGTCTCCTCAGAGAAGAACAACCGAGCTCACTGTCCATCCCAGGCTCAGTCTTCCAGGGGAGGGGGGGTGGCTCTGACCAGCCAGGGACAGATGGGCTCCGTCCTCAGGGTCTGACCAGCCAGGCGCTGGTGAGCCAGCCGCACTGCATGTGGCCAGTTATTCTGGGATGAGCAGAGAAACTAAATTTACCAAAGCCCAAATTCCTAAAAAGTTGGCTTTTCTAAGTGCATGTTTGCTTATAGGGCTGCACTGCCAATACAGTAATCACCAGCTGCATGTGGCTACTGAGTATCTGGCAAGTGGTTAATCTGAACTGCACTACACATGGAAAACAGCACTGTTAACCTCTGGGGCCAGATAATTATTTTTTATGTGGGCTGCTGTGCGCACAGCACTGTGTTTAGCAGCATTCCTGGTCTCTAGCCTCTAGATGCCAATAGCACACACACACACCTCCACCCCCCATCCCCCAGTGCCACCGCTTGTGAGAACCAAAACTATCCCGGACCATTGCCAAAATCGTGCCAGGTTGAGAACCATCCAGATTCAAAGACTTAGTAAGAAAAAAAAAGTGTCAAGTATCCCATTAATAATTTTGAAGTATTGATTGCATGTTGAAATGATAACATTTCAGATACATTGGATTAAGTAAAATACATTATCAAAATTAATTTTTTCTATTTTTACTTTCTATAAAGTGGCTACTGAACAATTTAAAATTGCATCTGTGGCAGGGCAGTCCTGTTAGGGAGGAAGAAACTAAGGGCCAGAGATGGAAAGTGATCAATAGAAGGTCCAGAGCGACACAGCACAGTCAGGGCTCCAATCAGCATTCCCGACTGGCACAGCAGACTAATTCTATCACTTCACATAGCTTCACGGCTGAGGGGCAACTCAAAAATCAATTCACTGGATGTTTCCAGGGTGCGATGGTCACAGGGCCCTGGAGGGGGGATGGAGAGCAGAGACATAAATCATAGTAGTGATATTTATTGAGGGCTTCCTATATGTTATTTGCATGCTCATTTAATCTTTGCAACAAACCTGGGAAGCAGGTTTTATTATTATTTTATTTTTAAATTATTTTATTATTATTATTCCCATTTTCCAACCGAGGAAACTGAGGTCCAGTGAGAACACTCAGCTTGTCAGTTGAGAAGCCAAGACTCAAACCCAGATATACTTTTCAAATACTACACATACTGCCTTCTCCTAGGTCAAGTCACATGCCAGGAGACCTGGGTTGGTCACTTCTCCTCCTAGCATCCTGCCCCGGGCAAAAGGTCTGGGAAAGATGTAGCTCGTGGTCCTTTCCAGCCCTGCAGTGCTGGTCTTCTGAGCAGGGTAGAGGAGGGAAGATGGCTGTCACCTCCTTCAGGCTGACCTGGAATCATGGGAATCTAGACGGTCAGCCACTCTTCTCCATATGGGTTCCCAGGGTGGCTGCTCTCCTCATAAAGAGCTTTATGGTCGTCAGAAATAATGCCTGGAATGGACATAGGTGCACTCAGACTGGCTCTAAGGAGAGGACCATGCCCAGCAATGGGTTCCACATGTAAATGGCATCATAATGATTATTAAAATGGCACACATCATGGACTTCTTCCTCTGTGTGCTAAGCACTTCATGGGCACTGGCTCACATAGGCATTATAATCTCTTACTCTAGGTCCCATTTTGCAGATGAAGGAATTGAGGCTCAAAGAGGTGAAGTGACTTTTCCAAGGTCACACACAATGATACAGCCAGAACTTCAAGCTGGATTTGTGCACCCCCAAAGCAGCCCTCTTAACCAAGGCACTGGCTTGAGGAGGCCAGAGCCTTCTTCCCAGGCCTCTTCTGGTCCAGCTCTGTATGGAGTAGCTGGGACCACTGGGGCCATCCAGAAAGTATGCAGGTAGCCTGCAACCTTCTCATCAGCCCTCCTTCAGAGTTAGAGCTGGAAGGGCTCAACTAATTCAGTCCTCTTAAATTGCAGATGGGGAAATTGAAGCTTGGAGAGGGGCAAGATCATGCCCAACATCACTCCACTAAATTGTGGCAGAATCAGTATTTCACTCAAGGTCACTTGAATCCTGATCCAGTACTT